TTGTTAATTAGATAATATCAAAAGAGTTTGAGCTTATCAAAACTCTCTATCCTACCGCTATAAATAGGAGCTCTCATTTCTATGTAATCTGACACATCCTAGGAAAAGTGATGTAAACATCTAGAAAAATATTATTCAGAATCACAATAAAAATGTGATACTAAAAGTAGAAGTCTCTCCTCCATAATGATCATGCCTATGCCTATTGATCCAAACCTCCATTGAAGATCAAGCCATTTGAACCCGGAGGCCCTTCAAGAAGAACAAGCTATATATACAAGTCATTCTTTGAAGATCAAGCCACTTGAAACCCGGAGGCCCTTCAATGGTGGAGTGTTCAAGGCACCAATTGAAGAATCAGAGGATATCCAGAGACATGTACCTTCTTGATTGATACTCAATGTAACTCTAGAATTTTGAATTTTAAAATATATATTCAATTTTCTTTGTTGACAGTCATAATATGCATATACATAAATACGATATAATGAATATGAATTATGTGCATTATGAACATGAATTATGTGTATTATGCTAAGTGTTTATATCTTCTCAGCTATATAATACACAGAATTTATGTTCATAATGTACCGAATTCATGTTTATTATATCGTGTTTAAGTATATGTGTATTATGAACATAAATTCTGTATATCATAAACATGAATTGTGTGTATTAAATCAGAGTTCACAGTACACTGTAAATTCTGGTCCACGATATAATGACTTGGTCCGGTGGCTATTGTCGTAATAAGAGATAGGTTGCATTATCTTTCCCACTTGATAATAGAATCTTCCCCACTTGATAATAGGATCTTCTAAGAAATAGTTTCAAATGTAAGGAAATTATTATACCTGTTGTTGGTCCTTTGACCTTCTCCCTCATACATGCTTCCTAGTTCCTAGCTTCATCCTTTCCTCTTTTTTTTTTTTTTTTTTTTCCAAAGATTCCTCCTTTCAGTCAAAAACCATTGGCGCTAACTCCCACACATATGGTGGGTCTAGTGGCTATTATAATTCATAAGAGCATCAATATTAGTTGAATAGTTGGGGTTATTAAGAGGTTATTATAAGAATGATTAGGAAAGAGAAGGTAGGATGTGAGAGAAAAAAGAAGAAAAAAAAAAAGACAAGACTGAATTTTAAAACCAAAAAAAAAAAAAAAAAAGGGTAGTGCGTCAGGCTCGCTGTCAGCTTGTCTAACACGCTACACGGTCGCGTGCAATGCACGTGCCCGTGTGGCCATTGAACGCGCATAACATGTGTCCCTTCTTTTTTGTTTTTTTTTTCTGACATAATCCCAACCCTTTGCAGGTCAATTATTTTTTAAATAACCCCCAATTCACTTCTATTGTGGACTAATAAGAGATAAAGTTGAATTTTCTACCCTACTTGATATATATATATATATATATATATATATATATATATATATATATATATATATATATTGCAGTCTTCTGGATCGAAAATGTACACATTATTCATTTAGTTCACATTATTGACTAAAAGAAATTATACCTTTAATTTCCTTCATCCTCCTGCTTAGCTTCTCTCTCAGACATGGTGGATCCGGGCACGTTCATTGTGAGCCTTTTAGGAGCAGCGAGTTCTGTAGTAACTATTGCAGATATTATAGAAAAGAGGGCACAGAACGGAAATGCAGAAGCAGCCAAAGCACTTGCCAAAATTAGGTTAACTCCCTCATCCTTTAATTTAATTTGTTGCCAAATTGGAGATCGATCAGATATGTGATTTTCTTCTCCCAATGCAAACGTTAATGTTTATCCAATACTTCTTCCCCATGCCCTCATCCTAATAGAGCATGTAAGAAAATGCAAATCATGATAATTCAGTGAGTCAAATGTTTGTACAGATTAATGGCTCAGCAAAAGTTTAAATGTCCCTTCTTCACAAGCGATCTGTCTATTTTTGACATAATCTCTACACTATTCGTTCCCAAATTTTATTTTGAATCTTGATCTCTTCTCTAAATACTGTCTATTGAATTAGTCACTACTGCAAATTATGGAATTTCCGACCACCTGAAAGTAATCTTAAATCAAATTGAAAGCAAAAAGTGGTCAGAAATAGCAACAAAGGTTTTTTCGGATACCAAAAGTGGTCGAAACATGGCTTTCGACTTGATTTAAGATCACTTTTCAGGTGGTCGGAAATTCCATAATTTTCAGTAGTGAGTGAGTTAAGTTCGTGCAGACATAATGACCCTATTTAGTAACATAGTAAGCTTATTAGCCAATTTTGACTTATTTGATCACATTTGACTTGGTTAAACAATCAATATGAATGTTAAAGTTAATAAGCTTTTTTTGTAACAAATTATTGCTACAAAATGTTAAAATTAAAAAACAAAAAAACAAAAAAAAAATTTTGAGAAAGTAATTTTGCATATAATCAACTATCAGCTTACAACTAATTTATCAAAACACTTTTCTACAATCAGCTAATACTATCAATTAGTTAAACCCACTGATCCAATAAGCTAACAGCTACAACTACTTACCAAACACTCTAATAATGTTTATTACAATACTAGACTCTTTGTTTGTGTTGTGTAAACGTGGGAAAAACAAAGTTCCATGATGGGTCCAGGATCCTTTCCTGTGTTTGACGGGAGTGAGTATCAAATCTGGAGCAATATGATGAGGGCTTTGCTTATATCCCATGGTCTCTGGGACTTGGTGGAGAATGGTTACAAAGCTTAGGTTTTTAGAAAAGATGGGAAGAAGAAGGACGCCCTGGCTATGATGATTATCCTGCTGGGAGTTCACCAGGCATGCTAGCTATCATTGCTGGAAATTATGAAATTTCCGACCATCTGAAAGTGATCACAAATCAAGTCGAAAGCAAAAATAGTCAGAAATAGTAACAAAAGGTTTTTTCGGATATCAAAAGTGGTCGGAACAAGGCTTTCGACTTGATTTAACATCACTTTTAGGTGGTCAGAAATTTCATAATTTCAGTAGTGAGTGAGTTAAGTTCGTGTTAAATTCCATAATTTCCAGAAGTGTATTACAACCCAATTAAATTTATTAGACTGGAAAATGTTTTTTTTTTTTTTTTTGTTAAATGACTCATTTTTCAGAAAATATATTTTCTTTGTACAGGTATGACAGATGATTAGATAGCCCATTTCAAGGCGGTCTTCGGCCTATTGGACAAGGACGGCAATGGTCGCATCACTAGAAAAGAGCTTGTGACTGTGAACAGGTCAGTGGGAATAAATTACACCGAAGCTGAGCTACAGGTTGTGATAAATTGTCTGGATGCTGATGGCAATGGAACCATTGAATTCTCAGAGTTTCTAAATTTCATGACACGGAAGAAGTAGAATTTGGATTATATATATGGGTTAAGCTAGTGCAATGGATTATTCCCAGGTCTTTCTATTTTCCTTTTTATAGGATGGTTTAAGCTCCAATGTTAAATTAATGTAATTTTTCTCTATTTTAAGGGCAGTGGAATCTTTTTATTCCCCAAAAAGATTCTAGCCAAATTAAATTTAATGTATTTTAAAAATTTTTTTAATGTCGCCAAAATTTTGGATGGAGATTCAAGCCTTTAATTTTAAAATATTTGTAGTTTTATAGTTAAACTAGTTTTTTACGCGCATTGCGCGATTGAGATAATGCCCAATATTTTTTTTTAAAATAATTACTTTAAAGTATATTAAGGCAAGATTATATTGGAATTGTTCATTGCATAGATAATTGAATGTTAAATTTGCGTATTTAAATAGGCAATTCTAAGTTTACAAATGCAATATAATATAGTCAAGATTGATTATAATTGTGATAGGGATATCCCGACCGGCCTGGACTCTACCCGACCGGGGCAGCTTCACCTCTTTCCTCCTCTTTTTACAGATCATGGATCGGGGTTCTTAGGAGAAACCCGGCCGGTTCCCGATCGGTCCTTGCCCGATCGGCATGTTCAGTTCCCGACCGAGGAACCTTGAACAGAAGACGAGGAGAGACACGCGTTGGCCCTTGGCAGGGACAGCGGGGCAACGGGGGGGACGACACGTGCCTCGCCACGTGTTGGACTGGCCGGAAAGCCCGGATTATGTCTCCGGCGCCGCGCCTATAAATACCCCCCATTGCGACAGTGAGAGGATCTTTCGGACGATCGATAGACTGTTATCAGAGCATCCCGACCGCATTCAGTCGGTACCCGAGCAGTCATTTAGATTGTACTTAGGACCTTCCACTCGATCAATAAAGATTTACTTGCTTTACTTGGTCGGACTTGTGTTATTTACTACATACGTGGCATTTAGCACTATCATTTTGGCGCCGTCCGTGGGGACCCGTGCAACCAAGCTACCGTTTGACGAGCACTCGTTCTCTTTTCTACCCCACCATGTATCCGTGGGCACAAGAAGTCGTTCGTGACGACCAGGCGGATGAGGCCAGCTCATCCGATCATCCGTCGCCCCACCAACAAGGTCGCGCCGCCGACCTCAACCTCAATCTCTCTCCACCACACCCGTCAACTTCATACCCGGCCGCCCAGCAGCCGGTCAACTACATCCAATCGGGATATTACTTTCCCGATCAGACTGGCCAGCAGTTCCAGCACCAGCAGCCCCAGTACCCCGGGCACTATCCATACCCGGTCCCTCCTCAACCGTACGGGTACTGGCCTGGCCAGCCGATGTACTACACACCACCGGTCGGCTATCCACCGTACACGCTTGCGTTCACGGCTCCAGCCGCCGCCCCTCCAGTATACCCGGCCGCTCATGTAGAGCCGCAGCCTCAGCCCTCTTCCCGGGCTAGACGCTCGGCTCGTTCGCGGTTGGGGTCGGGGGGTGCTGTTGCGATGGAGGCACCACGGCAGGCCCAGCAAGAGCAGCCGGACTACCAGACCCAGGCGGAGGAACCCGAGCGGACAGTAGTGTTTGACCGCCTCCGACCGGCCATGCGACACCGCCTAGGACCTCAAGGCACGAGCCAGTGCTCGGGAGATGAGCAGGCGATGGAAATCAGCCAGGAGCCCTCGTCCGGGCACAGTGGATCAAGGTCCCATCCTCGACGGCGCGCTCGGGAAGGCGCTCAGGCTCAGACGACCGAGCTCGACGAAACCCGGGGGCAGCTCCGCAACCTCCAAGAAGAATTTGCTCGGTTCAGAGACGAGCACACTGCTAGGCCCCGAGTCGAGCAGTCGACCCTGGTGAGAGCGCCCTTCACGGCGGACGTAATGGCCCAGCCATATCCGCTCGACCTCCAGATCCAGGGGAACCGAGGTTATGACGGCCGCACGGACCCCGAGGTCCATGTCAACGACTACTTCCACAACATGTCGATGATGGGCGTGTCGGATGCCGTCATGTGCAGGGCCTTATACTCCACTCTATCCGGTCGGGCAGCCGAGTGGTTCCGAACATTGCAGCCGGGCTCAATTGCAGATTTCAATGCCCTGGCGATCAAGTTCGTGAGGAAGTTCATCACCTCGAAGGCGGTGAAGAAGTCCTATATGTACCTGGAGAAAGCCAAGCAGCTCGAGGGGGAAAGCTTGGTCGACTTCCTCGTCAAGTGGAAGGCCCCAGTCGGGGAGGTCGAGCAGATGGACGATGCCACCGCCACTCACATGCTTCATATATCCTTGCGGTCGGGCTATCTATACCAGGACTTCATCCTCCACCCCCCGAGCTCATATGAAGAGGCCCTCCGAAGGGTCACAGATTACGCCAACGCAGGCGAGGCGAACGCGGTCAAGCGCTCGCAGGAGGTCGGGAGTTCATCCCGTAAGCCGACCGGCCGGGCGGAAATCCGATCGGATGATGATCGTTCCCGTTCCCGCAACAGGCCTGGTCCGTTCACGGCCTTGAACCGATCCGCCGCCGAGGCCATGCAGTATGCTCAATCCTGCAACCTCATTAAGCTCCCCCATCCCGGACGAGACAGACCGGACAAGAGTAAGCACTGTGCTTACCATAGGTGCGCAGTGCATGATACCGAGGAGTGTGTCCAGCTACGCCAGCTATTGGAAGAGCTTCTCAACTCGGGAAAGCTGGACAAGTGCGTGGGGAGGAGAGAAGAAGGCAACAAAGAGACCGACCGAAGAGATCGTCGACGATCCCACCGTCGTTCCGATCGGTCTGAGCGAGATGATCGGGTCGGGTCAGGGCCGTCAGGATGACCGACAGGACCCAGATCCACCGACCGGCAGGCAAGCCGACCATCCACGTGATCTTCGGTGGATTGGATGATGCCTCCCGACCGAGGGAGAATTGCCCGGTCGCCATCGTTGATTCCCGAGACACCGGGAAGAGGCAGAAGATGGAGCCCATAACCTTCACCATCGACGACCAGCCCAGCAACGGCGACCACGGTATGGAGGCTCTCGTGGTCACGATCGATGTGAACGGGACTGATGTCCAGAGGGTTATGATAGATACTGGGAGCAGTGTCAATGTCCTTTATTTGGACGTATTTGAGAAACTGCAACTCGACAAGCGCGAACTGATTCCGGTCGGCGTACCCTTGTCGGGATTTACCGGGGCCCTTATCCACCCCGAAGGAAAAATTATGCTCCCAGTCGAGATCAGCACCCCGCCCAAGTCGATCAAGACCGAGATGGAATTCGTTGTGGTGAACCTACGCTGTGTCCACAACATCATCTTGGGCCGACCCGCCATCATGAAGATCGGTGGGATAATTTCGATGCCCCACCTATGCATGAAATTCCCCACCCCGAATGGGGTCGGTGTTGTCCGGGGCGATGTCCAATTCGCCCGGAGCTGTTACACCCGGGCTGTAAACAGGCGTGACACGGGAACCTCTTCCCGGGTGAACACGATCATCAAAGAGGCCTCCGCTGACCGGAAGGAACAACCAGAACCTTCCGAGGAAATAGAGGAAGTTCCCCTGTCCGAGGACCGACCGGACAGGACGATCAAAATTGGCCGGGCCCTCACCCCCGAGCTCCGAGCGGAAATCTTGGCCACCCTCCGGGAGTTTGCCGATGTTTTCGCGTGGGGGCCCGAAGACATGCCCGGGATCGACCGGACGGTCATTTGCCACAAGCTGGCAGTCGAAGATGGCGGCGATCGAGCACATCCGACCGGTGATCTATCCCGAGTGGGTGGCAAATGTTGTTCTCGTTCCGAAGCCCCCAGCCTGGAGGATGTGCATAGACTTTACCGACCTCAATAAGGCCTGCCCGCTCGACCCATATCCGCTCCCAAGCATACATCAAATGGTCGACGAAACTGCCGGGGCCGAGTTGATGAGCTTCATGGATGCTTTCAAAGGGTATCATCAGATTATGATGCACCATGAAGACGGGAGTAAGACAGCGTTCGTTACCCCGGACGGACTGTACTGCTACCGAGTGATGCCGTTCAGCCTGCGCAACGCGGGAGCCACTTATCAGAGGATGATCAACATGCTCTTCGCTGATCTCTTGGGCCGAACGATGGAAGCTTATGTTGACGACATGCTGGTCAAGAGTCGTGACCGATCCGACCACACTCGGGACCTCCGGGAATGCTTTCAGATCATGAGGAGGTATCAGCTGAGATTGAACCCGAACAAATGTACGTTCACGGTTCAAACGGGGAAATTTCTCGGCTACATGATGACGAAGAGGGGAATCGAGCCCAACCCGGCCAAGGTACAGGCAATTCTGGACATGCAACCACCTTCCACCGTTCGGGAAGTCCAGCAGTTGACCGGTCGGTTGGCAGCCCTCAGCCGATTCCTCTCCAAACTAGCCGAGCTCGCTCTACCATTCTTCATGGTATTGCACAAGGTGAGTGGATTCGTCTGGGATGACGAATGCCGAGCGGCCTTCGATGAGCTAAAAGAGTACCTCATGTCTCCGATTGTGCTCTCGAATCCTGAGCTCGGGGAGGCACTAGACGTGTACCTCGCCGTATCCGATCGAGCAGTAAGCGCAGTATTGTGCCGAACCGATCAGGAAGGGGTCCAGCGACCGGTGTACTATGTAAGCCACGCGCTACAAGGTCCCGAGCTCCGGTACTCCCGGCTTGAGAAGGTCGTCTACGCCCTCTACATCGCCGCGAAGAAGTTAGCTCCCTATTTCCAAGGTCGAGCCATCCGCGTGCTGACCGATCAGCCGATCGGGCCAATCCTCCGCACCGCCTCATCATCCGGTCGCCTAGTCAAGTGGGCGTTGATGCTGACCCAATACGCGATCGAGTACCGACCGAGACCAGCCATCAAAGGGCAAGCTCTTGCGGACTTCTTGGTCGAGTGCACCGCCCGGGATACCCGACCCCCTGAGGTCGAGGATCCCGAGGCTGAGTGGTGGTCCCTAGCCACGGATGGGTCCAGCAGCCAGAAATGGGCCGGAGGAGGAGTGGTTGTCACAAGCCCAGAGGGATTCAAGGTGTACTTCGCGCTTATGTACCAGTTCCATCCCACCAACAACGAGGCCGAGTACGAAGCCTTCGTCAATGGCTTACAATGTGCTCGGGACCTGGGGGCTGAGTACATCCGGGCTCAAACAGACTCCGCGCTCGTAGTCGGGCAGGTCACCGGCGACTACGAGGTCAACGGTGAACGATTACAATCGTACCGGGACCTTGCAATGGAAAAGCTTGCCGCGTTCCGGGGGTATACCGTCCGGCACATACCCCGACTGGATAATGCCGATGCGGACATCTTGTCCAAATTAGCCCAGGACACCCCGGAACACATGTCAAAGATCGCTCGGATCACGGTGATCCCGAGGCCTAGCATTCACAGGCTGCCGGTCGTTCCTATCCAACCGGCAGAAGATACCTGGATCACCGATCTGATAGTCTTCCTCGAGCACGGTCGACTCCCAACCGACCCCCAGCACACTCGGAAGGCCAAGCTCAGGGCTCCGAGGTTTCAGGTCATGGACGGTCGCCTCTATAGACGCTCATATGGGGACCCTCTTATGCGATGCCTAACCGCGTTTGAAGCTGACCTCGTCATAAAGGAGCTCCACACGGGCATCTGCTCGTCCCATCAAGGCGGCCGATCGCTAGCTCGCCGTATCATGCTGATCGGGTACTATTGGCCGTCCATCCAGCTTGATTGTGAAAAGCTGGCTCGGGGTTGCGAGACATGCCAGCTGTTCGCCCGGATGCCCGGACGACCGGCTACCTTTTATCAGCCGGTCACGACCGCGATTCCTTTTGCGAGATGGGGAGTAGACATCCTGGGACCGTTCCCCCAGCTTGCCGGCCGACGAAAGTTCATCATCATCGCCATCGACTACTTCTCAAAGTGGATCGAGGTCGAGCCGCTTGCCATGATCACATCTCAACAGTGTGCTCGGTTTCTATGGCGCAACGTGATTTCCCGCTTTGGCGTGCCTGTGCATCTCATAAGCGACAACGGCCGCCAATTCATGAGCCAATACTTCCAGAATTTCTTGGCCACGATCGGGACCACGCACATCCGGTCGTCAGTAGCTTACCCCCAGGGAAACGGGCAAGTCGAAAACGCCAATCGGACGATAATGGAAGGTCTGGAAAAGAAATTACACTCGGCTGGTCGTAGTTGGGCCGATGAGTTGCCCTACGTCCTATGGACTTATCGGACGACCCCGAGAGAGGCGACCTTGGAGACCCCGTTTGCCCTAGTTTACGGAGCCGAAGCCCGACTCCCGATCGAGGCGTGGATCCCGACCGAGCGAGAGCGAACCTACAACGCTGAAGAGAACGAGCACTCTATGGTCGTGGACCTCGATGGGGTCGAGGAGAAGAAAGAGCTAGCTGCTCGGCGTATGGCCGAGTACCAGAAGAGGGTCAAGAGTTCAAAGGACGTCCGCGTCAACCCCCGGTATTTTCAAGTTGGAGACTATGTTTTACGCTGGAGGGAGGCCAGTCAACCTTTGGAAGGTGGGAAGCTAGCTCAAAACTGGGAGGGACCGTATGTCGTCAGTGCTGTAGTGCGACCGGGAACTTACCGGCTCGAGACGACGACCGGTCGGGCTATCGAGGGGACTTGGAATTCCGAGCACATCGTTGTGTTTAGGCATTAGCCAATCTTTCGTAACTTTTGACCGAATGGGGGCTCAACCTACGGGGAGGCCACCCTTGTAAATTACTTAGCTTGTAAATATTCTAACCGCCTGCGAGCGGGAAATGTTAATGTATGTACGATCGGTGATTGCCTAACCGTTTGCATACGGCGGCCCGGTCGGTTTTTCCCTCACATATCTTCTGTCTTGCTCGTCCTTCGTCCGATCAAGACCCGGCAACAAATTTGAAGACGGGCGCACCGCCCAACACACCTCTCCATCGGTTCCGACCGATAGCGGTGTAACATGGCTCTAACAGCCAGCTACTGAATCTGCTCTAATAGCCGTCAAACTCCTCTCCCTCGGTCCTCACCGATAGGGGTGTGCAATCGGGCTCTAATAGCCTTTACACTGTGGCTCTAATAGCCAACTGACAATTGACCTGGCGATCGAATCGACCGGTCATATCGCCGATCGGGGGAGCCTAAGCTGCAGCAGAACCCCCCGGTCCGCCGAGCTTCTCTCCGCTAACGCACCCGCTCGTGCCCCTAGCGCACAACGGTGTGGGGGCTAAGGTGAAAGAAGTCTTAATAGGTCTCGCGATCGGGAACACCCCAAGCGACGGGCCCTAGACGAAGTGTTTAGGCCGGTGATCGGGAACACCCCGATCGGAACGGCCAAACTAAAATCGAAGATAAATTCCAAGGCCTAAGGGTCGGGAACCGCAGTTTAGGCCGGTGATCGGGAATGCCCCGATCGAGACGGCCAATCTACGAGTCGGGAACTGAGGTCTGGGCCCAAGGTCGGGAACATCCCGTCCTAAGCGGCCTACCCTAAGATTGAAGGCAAGGCCAATCGGCCAATGGGTCGGGCTATTCTTGACCGGCCGTTGGGCCATACGGTCCGACTACTCTATCGATCGGGGCTAGAGGCCACGAGGCCGGGCCCTAATCTATCATCACACACAAGCAAAAAGCATAAGTTAAACCGAACGAAGCGAGTTGATTAAAATCAAGTTTCATTAACAAAAGGAGGTGCCCGGTACAAGCTAGGGACCGGGCTCCCGATCAGAATGCCTTACAAAAACCGAGAAAGAGGAAGCTAGTCTAAGGCTGCTTCTTCGAAGGCTCCGCCTCGCTCGGAGTGGCTGCGGCCGACCCACTCGGCTCGGCTGCCTT